GGTTTTTATTCGTCTTATCGAAAACTTCTCTCCTTCTAGTACCAGCAAGTAATGGCTTGGTCCAGAAAAACTTGCCTGCTCTTCAGAATACCACCAAACCAATTCCTGCCAGCGTATTCTCATACAGGTTTGCTTCTCCGACAAGCAACCAGACTCCATACTACGTCTCATCAGACATAGTGTTGAGGTGGGTGGTCCTCACTGTTTAAACTAGTCCTTCACAAGTCTTTATACATGGCATGGCAGTTACTAGAACTGTACCACTTGGGAAATATTGAGCAATAAAGCAAAGAATCATGGGGAGAGGGAGCGAGGGTTGGTAGGGTTATAGACCTCCCTATTTTTTGCTAGAGTTGATTTTTTTAGGGCTCCAGATCGAATGAATAATGTATGAATTTTGCCACTTGGAAGTTTCAAAATGGTGTAACAGTGGCCCCTAATGTGGTTGCCTTTATAGTCAGATTTTTTTAGCTGCTCTACTACTTTAAAATGGTCTCTGTGGTCCCTGTAAAATGGTTATTGAGAACAGAGGATGACCAACTTGCGCCAAGTATCTCATATTGCTGGAGCTTATCCCAGTTTCTGTAGCTTTAAGTGATAAGGTGTTCATCTACTCCCCCTAGAGGGGATGCTAATCCATGGCAGGGTTAGTACCCTCAAGCATTGAATTTGCCAGTGTACTTATTTCTACCCCTTGGTGAGGAGACATTTTGAGAGTAAAGCATGTTTAAAGTGTGAATGCAAATTCATGCTGTATGTTGTCATGAATGCATGTCTTATAATACCTAAGAGTGGTGGTCAACAAGGTGAATCAAATTTAGTCAAATGTCTTACATTAAACTCTTTGAAAGGAATGAAGTGATGATTGATAAGTCACTGAGAAGTATCACATCAGAACATTGTATTGTCCCAAGCTTGCCAACATTCCATCATTAGATTTCTCATCTATTAAAGGCTGATTGTTTGGATTGAAAACTGCAGAGAGTGAGATGGTGTTGTTGACATCGGATATGTTGTGTTAAATGCACAAGCATTATTAAATTCTTATAACAAAATTTAAATTTTTGCTTTAATTTTTGGAATAGTGGAGGCATTGCCCAGCAGACTAGAAGAAGGATTGTGCATAATGAAGGCAAGTGATAGGAAGGAAACCTGTTCTGCAATGTAATTTGCTAGGTACATAGGTGTGTAATTGAAAACAGAAAAAAAAAACTGTATATTACCACTATCCTCAACTTTTTCACTCCGAACATTTATATTCTATTTCTTATACAGCATAATAAACAGAACCATGTCAAAGTAGTGCTTGGTAACTTTCATTTAAATGGTTGCACACCAGGGTTTCATCCACAGACTTCAAAGATTCAATTTTGTCTAGGACACAAAGGGGTAAAGGATTCTCTTTTGCAAGACCAATTTTTTTGTGAGAATCTGATGTTAATGCTATAACAGAGAAATCACAAGTTTTAGTGGTATTTAGTTCCTTGTTTGTCTACAGCCTTTGTGATGGTTGATTTGGTACATATTCACCCTTGTGGTCTTATATTGTTACAAGTTCTTACTGATAACCACATGATAGTACAATTGATCAAACTTGTGATATCAGCGTTATCACTCCTAAATGGAAGGTTTTTTGACAGCCCCAAAGCTGATTTAAACCATTTACTTATTGTTAGGGTTTTTAAGAAAAGTAGCATGTTAAATTTTATCATGTCTTAAAATTATATCTGTTTCTATTTAGTTGAACGGAGACGGAAGGACAAAATTAATAATTGGATATTAAAGCTAGCTGATGTAGTGCCACAATGCAGCTGGGGAAAGCAGGTATTTAATTTGATGACTGTTTTATTTTGTAAAAATAACGTTTATGCGGCAAAATATAGTTAAGGCTAAGTTAAACTCAAAACAACTACTGGTTAGCGGTTTCTCTCCTTGACGCGGGGTGGCCTGTGGGTTCTGCAGGGAGGCCATGAATTTGCAGTCCTCCTGTTGAGGTCAGGCCATTTTGTTTAACGTTCATGTTGCTTCCGAAGGCTTTGCTCCAACCCATCCCTCCCCAAGGCAAGTATGGGGTACTGTACATATTTTATTCCACTGTAGTCGTCTTTCAGTGTGATGATACTTGGTGGTTGCCACTCACTCTCTCCTGTACTCTCAGCTCATGCAACATGGTTCCATCAGCCTTACAGACACCTTACCCACACTTAGCTATTGTTGATTAGTTAAATTATTAAAGCAGGCACAACCTAAGGACTGGAAAATTGTGGGTTACACAGAGTTTACAAACTTTTAAACCTACATGTGCATATTGACTGAAACTACAGGTACAAACAACAAAAAAGTTTTGTACTGACTAGTGCTGAGCCTGGCGCATGAATAAATGATGAAAGGTCTTAGCTACACAATAATGTGGAACATAAGAAACACGACTAGACTTTTTATCTGTTGTAATTGAGTATAATTTCATTTTATTCTTTCTCCAGAGTAAAAACATTGTTCTTGAAAAGACAGTTGAGTACATCAACCAAGTCAACACTCAGCTCAAAGAACTGTCTGATTTACAACAGAGAGAACAAAAGCTTGGTAAGGGAGTGCCACCATGTGTTCTTTACTAGATAAACTGGATTTATGAAGATGATGTATTAATGAAAAGTATGTTCCTTTGCACCAAATGTCTACATGTGTGCACTTTAATTTCATGACTCCTAAAGGCCTAAACACTACCCAAAGTGATGAAAAGAAAAAAAGGGATAGAAGAGCGCAAAAAAGAGAAAAGAGAGTGGAGGAAAATAAAAAGACTGACATTGCTTTGATTGTTTATGTTGTCTACTTTCAATGGCAAGAAAGAAGATACCTGTGTTAGGGTGAAGTTTTATTGACACGCTTTTCATAAATTCAGTCTTTTATACTACCACAAATATTAGTCCCATGTTTAACTCCTCAACCACATTGTGTAAATAGCCAACTGGTCAGCCTCCAACCAGTTGGGATTCTTAATAGTTTATGTTATA